GGTTGCAGTCCTGTACGAATAGAAGACCTGCTAGAGCAGGTCCGTATCAGGTAATGAAAAAGGACTCAAACAGAAAGATCATGTAGATACACGCTTGTATTTCATTTTCTTTTTCATTTTTCTTCTGGCACATTAAATAACTCTGGTCCATCTCAAAATTCGAATCAAATTGCCAATTTTTGTAACTTTGATGGCTTCTGTCTAATTAAACTCATCCCAACTCCGTATTTCATTAATCAAGATACTGCTAGCTCTTGTTGACACAAATATGTTGCTTTGTAATATAACAGAAAAAGTGATCAATATACATGGTTTTTGTTTCACACGAGCCGGTGGCGTTTGGCTGATGGTATATTTTTGAACTCGTGGGAAGATCTTGAACAGGTCCCCCTAAAAGCAATAAGAGAGAATCCATTCTTCAAGAGTATGATACCGCCTGTTTATCCAATTGGACCGGTGATTAAACAAGAGGAACATGATGAATCAGCCACGGAATACATGTCATGGCTAGATGAGCAATCACCGAACTCTGTTCTCTTTGTAGTGCTTGGTAGTGGTGGAACTTTGTCAGGGGAGCAGATGACTGAGTTGGCTTGGGGTTTAGAACTGAGTCGGCAACGATTCATATGGGTGGTACGTAAACCAACGGAAGCTTCTAGTTCAGGTACGTACATACACAAATTTCAAATTTGTAGATATTTTTTGTAAATTTGAGCGCACTGAGTTCTTGTTTATTGGTTCAGGGACGTTTTTCAATGTGGGCAGTGATACATATGGCCCAGAGGAATATCTTCCCGAAGGGTTCCTGGAGAAGATACGGGGAGTGGGAGTGGTGGTACCGTCGTGGGCTTCCCAAGCGGCCGTGCTACGCCATCCGTCAACAGGCGGGTTCATATCTCATTGTGGATGGAATTCAACATTGGAAAGTATAGTTCACGGCGTGCCAATTATAGCATGGCCTCTCTACGCGGAGCAAAAAATGAACGCAACGGTGCTAGCGGAGGATATTGGAGTAGCCGTCAAACCGGAGGTGAAGGCGGGACAGACGGTGGTGGGACGGGAAGAGATAGCGAGAGTGGTGAGAATGGTGATGGAGGGTGATGAAGGGGATGAAATAAGACGTCGGGTTAGGGAACTGAAGGAAACTGCCGAAAAAGCATTGGATGCCGGTGGGTCCTCGCATGAATCGGTCTGTCGAGTGGTGGAGGAATGGAAGGCGCTGATCTGACTCTGGATTTGAAGCCATAATAGGTGGTTGTTGGAAATTAGATCCTATTATTTAGCCATTATCTCTATATTTTATGAAGTTTAAGTTATTTATTTGTTTTAGGTTGTTATCATTTAAATTAGATAAGATAAGATAAGATTGGTTAGTTATCTTTTTAGATAATATTATCTTGTAAAGCCTATTTAAAGGCTAGATTATTTTCAGTTTAAAGTGAGATTCAGTTTTTCATTCCATCTTCTTCTTTTCGAAATCCTTGATTTTTTAACATTTGGTATCAGAGCCCAGGTTCTACCATGGGAAGCCCGTTGTTAGCCCACTTAACAGGACTCGAAGTTGATACCGAGCCTGCATTTAAGGGGGCGTGTTAACCCACGTGACAAGACCCGACATTCATAGCGGGCCTGCACGTGAGGGGGCGTGTTAAGTGGGAAAATCCCACATCGAGTATAAAAATAAGAAGCTTGTGGGTTAAATACAAGGAGAGCTACTCCACCTATCGCCAATTGGTTTTAGGTTGGATGCAAGCCTTGTGTTGAGCCCACATGCAGGATTTTCAATATGGTATCAGAGCCTATTCCTGAAAAATTCCATGGCTTCCGAAAATTATGTCCAGCCCTCAATCCCTCTTTTTGATGGTCATCACTACGACCATTGGAGTATGTTGATGGAGAATTTTCTCCGGTCCAAAGAGTATTGGACTATTGTTGAAGCTGGAGTTCCAGAACCAGCGGCAGGTGCTAATGATGCACAGAGGGCAGAAATTGAGAAGGAAAAATTGAAGGATCTCAAGGCTAAGAACTATTTGTTCCAAGCCATAGATCGGGCTATCTTGGAAACAATTCTTAACAAGTCTA